GTGAAATATTGCATTATAATTTATAAAACAGGGCAACTTGTTACTACCATTTGCTGAATTATAATTTATAAAACAGGGCAACTTGTTACTACCATTTGCATTAATTAAGGTAATGTATTTGGTTTAATAGCTGCATGTCTACCAGCAAGAAATTGGCAGGTGAAATATTGCATAATAATTTTTAATTCATAAAACAGGGCAACTTGTTACTACCATTTGCAATAAGGTAATGTATTTGATTTAATAGCTGCATGTCCACAAGCAAGAAATTGACAAGTGAAATATTGCATTATAAGTTATAAAACAGGGCAACTTGTTACTATTTATTTCCTATTAGTGTAACTTTGTAGTTGTAGATTCAACGCTCACCGATCACCGCTTTTTCGTCTTTAATTATAAAAGTACTCAACATCGCTTTAAAATTTGACAAACGTATTAACGTAACTTCGGTTGCTTCCGTCCTTTGAAAACAACAAAATTTTCCGGAAGTAAAACGTACCGTTCGTCATATATCCGACGTTTGCCGAAGATTATCCGACGATTGCCACACACACACACACACAGATCCGGACACTTTTTCGACTACATAGTGGTTAGCCGCGCATGCGCAGGCTACCCACAAAAAACACACATCCGTGACAGCTTTTAATAGTTTAGTTATTAAGATTTGAAATGTTGTAACAGCTATTGACGAATCAGTAACAGCTTTTAACAAAAGAATGACTTTATTTTAAGAATAAAAAATGTTATTACAAAAAATCATTTGAATAATTAGTACAATACGTGCAAAGCAGTTAATCGTTCAAAGCAGTTTGTTTGTGCAAAGCAGTCAAACATAATGCTTGATATTGTGTCCATTGACAAATCGAAACCAGAATGAAGAAGATTTCGTCGGTGATTTTCTATCCGGTTTTGTTGTTTATCAGGATCTAGGATTTCGGAGAGAATAATATAATGGATCCTCAACGGCTTCTTTGCTGAGCATAAGGGTATTAAAAAAAATTGAATTCATTAATTATTATGGGTTTCGATTTGTCTGTAATTTCTACCCATATCAGTTTTCAATCGATGTAATATGGTTTTAAGCGTTGAGTATGTCTAAAAAAATGATTTTTTGTTACGATTTTTTAAGGGAAAAAGGTAAAGTGCATATCCCTCATCGTCAAGGTGATCTGCAAAAAAAAACAGTCCGTTCATTCATTTTCGAAGAATTCTTCAAATCTTTCAACTTCCCAATTGCACCCGCATGCTTTCATAATGAAACTTTGCTCTGCCTGTGTGATTTTGAAGCCCTGATTCGCCAAACATTCTACTCGGGCTTTGTGCGGGACAAAATCATGCTCACCATATAGGGTAAGATGCTCAATTTCTTCATCGGCATCTTGTGGAAGTGATTCCATACTCGCCAACTCCTCATTTGTGTATTTGTTTTCTTTTTTTTCATAACATATACGGTGAGGGAAGAGCACATCTTCACCTTTTCCTGTGAAAGCTTTCATCTTTCCACTTTCTTTTTCGATCCTTATTTTTGAAAGGAAAAAAGATTGTAAAAAAATTCTAGATTGTTAGTGGATTATTTGTACCTACATTGAATCAAGTTGTATGGGTTCTTCACTTGTCATTTCAATTGTTTCCATATCTCTTATGCATTTTATGCAAAATCAAACACGGAAACGCAGAATCTTGCATTTGAGATGTTCACACCATACAAATTCTTTGTCGCCAGATTTTTGCGCTTTTTCTTCGTTAAGAAATGCGTTGCATTGGAAGTGCACACAGTGTTGGAAGCCACATGTTAAACAATGTATGCTTTTTCGCGGGTCTGGATTTTCAGGGTCGAAGAAATAGGATGATAGCTTTTCCAGTTTGTCTTGAAATTCCTTGTTAGCATTGTTTTCTCGCTCAATAAGTATTAAAATATCTCTACAAATTTCACACTTTTTGTTCGCGTATTTTTTGTAAAGGGAATCTTTATCGGACATGCTGTATTGTGTTTTGATTTGTGATTGCTATTTATATATATCTCTTTATTCCTAGGAATGTTGAAATTTGAGCTTCCTGTTTCTTGAAGGAAAAATTTAGATTTGTCATTTTTTTTGTAAAAATAATCGGGAGTTTGGATTTTTCCCACAGCACCGTGATTATATTCAGTCGAATTTGACGGGTAATTTCACACTGCTATATCATTGCTTTTATGTGCAGCTATGTTCATTAAAATTAGGTAGCTAGATTCCGCATATGAAACTGTACAATAAAATTAGGAAGTGAAATCGTAAATACAAGGAAAATAGGCGAATAATACGTTTTGAAAGCCAGAATAACGAATTTGTAAATATATTTTCGAATCTTTTTAAACTAATTATATATTCGGCATCTATTGCCGCGTTTATCTTCGCCTCTTTTTATTTTGCTTCATTTTTTTTAAAACCAAATTCTCCATAAAAAGTTCTACATTTTGATTAAATTTTTAAGCGTATAACTAAAAAAATACGAAGTTATAGCGAAATATAAAATCCTAGCGTAGCGATATCATAGCGTAGCATACCCTCAAGCTGAGTTGTCATATTTCGATAAACCCAAAACAACCGGAAAAATGCACTTGGGTAGGCTTTAAACCCCGCCAGTCGATTTCCCGTATCATAAAACCCCAATAACTCTAGGTTTTGTATCACTCAAACTCAAGCAAGAGCGGCACGCAGCCGCGTGGGTAGTACGGAAAATTATTATGAAAATACACAAAATTATTTCTATTTGCTGAATTAAAACGAAACTTTCTACTCAGAAGCGCTTGAAAATAGACTAAATATCACCATGACTATGCAAACGCTAAAAGCAACGCTAGGGAAAAACTATTGAGCTATTTTATTGAGAAAATAATTAGAGATTTCAATTTTTTTTGTCGGACTGTAAAAAAATGATAATTGTTTATTTTTGTGGAGTGTAACCAGTACCGATGGTGGGATAAAGTGAAAGGATAGATAATTTTTTTATTGCGGTTAAATTCCTTTTTAATTTTTTTTATTAAATTGTTGAAAATGTAGTTGATACGCGACACACGGCCAAACAAATAAATGACTTACAAGTTTTGTTATTTTTCTATTCATTTGAGTTCAAGTTGGACATGAGAAGTGTGCAAAAGAATGAGTGAGTATTTTTTTGTGTTGAAATTGACACTGATTGTGAGATGCGAAGATTTCTTATTCACATTTTACGTTCCTTATTTTTTGACGATCTTGCTGATTTGATTTCAATGTTTAATCGATTTGAGAGGGTAAAATCAACAATTGATTGGAAGTGGGTTTTGTTTTCTGAAAATGAGAAAGAAGCTAACAGTATTTGGAAAATTATTTTGTGTGATTATACTAGTTCTAGAAGAGCTTATCATTGCAGTGGACGTATGATGGATTCTTTTCGTTTTTAGATGTTAAGCAAAAAAGTATTATTGTTCACGATCAATCTCATTTATGGAAATTTGCTGCTTTTCTTCTTCATGATTTTGAACATATATCATATTTTGATGCTGTGGAAATAATTACTCGATTTAATCCTATTGATGGAAAAAAATTTAAAATTATATGCATTAGTAAGAAGGAGTGTAAATATTTATGGGATTCTATTCGAACATTTTGTAAGGGGAGTGATCCTGAGAATTATGAACAAGGCTTTTATGATTATCATAGAACATTTTTAGTAAAGAAAAGAAGAAGACAGAAAAGGATAGAAGAGAAAATGTAATTTGTGAACTTTGTAATTTAGAGAATTGTGAATGTTGTACATTGTATTATAATTTTATTGAGATTTACAATGAATTTATTACTTTACTATCATATCTGATTATATATTGTTTTTTATTCTTGTACCATTTCTTTAAGATGTTGTCTATGTCTTCTTTTCAAACGTGGTTAAAACGTTCTTCATGCCACAACATGCACATCTTTTGTTTCGGAATCCTCTTTTATTAACAGTGTTATTCCATTTTTATGAATTATCTCACATACTATTACTCCAACTTCATCACAGGTCATTTTGTTGAATGCGTCTACCTCCAGCGAAAAACTTGTTAATCGTGTTTCTTTTATTGCTTCACATTGAGGGGATGAAATTGATGGTGAATATTTTGGTTTTGATTTTATTATAATTTGTGTTGTATGCATTTTACTATTCATATTTTGCATAGTTGTTATATTATTGCCGTTGAGTTAGGGTATATATATATATATATATATATAATTATATATATATATATATATATATATATGCATGTTAAAACCCTCGCGTAATCAATCAAAAACGCGTGTGCGTAAACCGTTGTAAATAGTTATCGCCTGAGGATCGTACTAAAACTAGTACGTGAAACACAGTGTCGCGATGAAATACAATTTTATGATTATATTTTGTTGATTTGTTTGTGTTTATATATATATTCACCGAAGATCGATGAAATCCGCCATTACGCAAGTGTCAACAAGATAGACTTGATTTGCATAACAGAGACCTGGCTTAAAAGCCACATCCACAATAATATTATTGCTATCGAGGGCTATAATCTCATGCAGAGAGACAGGGTTTGAATCGAACACGGTGGTATTTGTACATATGTTATAAATAACATCAATTTCACCGTTTTAGAAGACTTGCAAGACCAAAATCACGAAGTTCTTTGGATAAAGCTACAACCCACATGTCTCCCAAGAGGATATAGCTCTATTGTTATAGGGAATGTTTACCATCCACCAAGTGCCAATAATCAGAATTTATTGCAATATCTTTATTCATGCCTTTCCTTAATTGAATCGCGTTTTTTAAATTGTGGAATTATGCTAGTCGGCGACTTTAACCAGTTAAACATTTCTAGACTTAGAAACTGCTTCTCCCTCAAGCAAATTGTGAAATTCCCAACCGTGGCTCGAGAACCCTGGACTTAGTTCTGACAAACCTAAACTCGTTTTACAAAGATCCTATTCAACAAACTCCCCATGGTTTATCAGATCTGGTCTATCATGTCTGTGGAAGTTCAACCCAGAAACAGATCTCAGCTTCCAGAACAGCGCCATACTATTAAGTCGAGAGATCTGAGACCAAGTAATCGTGCTGCTATGCATACATATCTCCAGAATGTTAATGTTAAAGCTCAAATCGGTACAGTTAACACATGCACAGAAAAAGTTTCAGCTCTGGAGTCAATTGTTCAAGTGGGGATGGACTTTGTATTGCCTCTGCATTCTAAGACCATATGCTCTAGTGAACCACCTTGGATAAACCCAAAGTTAAAAGATCTTATTAAACGCCGCCAACGGGCGCTTGCCCAAGGAAACTTGCCATCGTTTCGTTCCCTGAGGAACCGAGAACGCAAGGTCTGTAGAGCGAGATATTATAACACCAAAATAGCTCATTTGAAAGATTGTAAACCATCATTATGGTGGCGTGAAGTAAAAAAACTCAGCGGTTTATCATCATCCAGCAAAAATGACTTCACAAAACTTGTTCAACACCTTGATGGAACTTCTGACCAAACAGATTTAGCTAACAAGAATAACCAGGCGTTTCTATCACCGATGAGCATCTTCGATCCTTTGCCGAGTGACTACGAACTTCAGCAAGATAATGTATCAGCTGCACCTTACCTGGTCTCAAGTGACAGCGTTTTTGTGAAACTTTCTTCCCTCAATCCAAGAAAGGCTACCGGCCCCGATGGCATACCGGCTTGGCTCATTAAAGAGAATGCAGATTTGTTGGGGGACCCCATATCAGACATCATTAATTGTTCCTTTAGGGAAAGTCGTCTGCCTGCAGTATGGAAAACGGCGGATATAATACCTATCCCTAAGAATAAGCTGGTCCAAGAGGTTAACAAAGATCTTCGACCCATCTCTTTAACACCAGTGCTAGCTAAAGTTGCAGAGGAATTTGTGGTAGAAGAGCATGTGCGCCCTGGCTGTTATTAAGAAGATCAATGAACACCAATTCGGATGCATTCCCAAGTCGTCAACAACTCAAGCTTTGCTGAGTATGGTGCACTTGTGGACAAAAGACACCAACAGAACAGGATCAACAGTAAGGGTTGTACTGTTTGACTACAAAAAATCTTTTTACTTAATAGACCATCAAATTCTTATTGGTAAATTAGCAGCCCTCGACTTGTCGTATTCCATCCTGTGCTGGATAATAGACTTTCTTAAAAACCGCAAGCAAAGAGGTAAACTTGGTCAGGACTGCAAATCCGAATGGCGTGACATTCCAGCAGGAGTCCCTCAAGGGACCAAGCTGGGACCATGGCTTTTCATCGTAATGATTGACGATATAGATATTACAAATGTAGAATTATGGAAATATGTAGATGACACAACAACTTCAGAGTGCGTTGCAAAGAATAAAGGGAGCAGGATCCAAGAGTTGGTCAATGAAATTGTAACCAAATCAAGCGAGAATAAATTACAACTAAATGAAACAAAATGTAAGGAAATGCGAATTTTGTTTGCCAAAACTGCTGCTGATTTGAACCCAATAATTATCAACAAAAAAGCCATTGAGGTAGTGTCAAATTTCAAGTTGCTTGGTCTAAATATTTCGATTGATCTGAAATGGAACTGTCATGTAGCTGAGATATCACGAAAGATCTCCACAAGACTTTACTTCCTCAAACAACTGAAAAGAGCAGGCGTTGCAACCAAGGAACTTGTAACATTTTACACCACGTGCATCCGTCCCATTATGGAGTATGCCTGCCCAGTTTATCATAATTCACTCCCTATCCAAAGAACTTGAATCCTTACAGAAGCGTGCCATGAGAATTATCCATCCATTTGTCGATTACAATGAGGCATTGAAACTTACAAAATTAGATACAGCAAACAATCGTAGACACGCTCAAACAATTAAAGTTTTTCAGTTCTAACCAAAGTCATAAACTGCATAAGTTTTTACCAAAGTTGAACAAAAATAGTCTCAATCTCAGAACAGCACGTAAATATCATGTCCCTGTGTGCAAAACCAATAGACTTCAGAAGACATTTTTTTTATAGCAATTGTATATAATAATCTTATTACCACATAGTAATTAGTTAATTTAGAATATTTTTAATCCATTAATTTTAAATTTGTAAATTCTTAATCTAATCCAGCTTAAATTTGGCTGTAATTTTAAGAGTTAATAAACTATCTAACTACCACGGATTGTCAGATTATTTCAATTCATCTATAATTAAGAGATCTTATTATTCACCAGCTGAGGCGAACACTCTTAATAAGGGGGTCCTACAGTAAAATTTTGGTAAAAATTTTAAATTTTGCAATTTTTCAAATTAACAAGATTTGTATAGTTTAAACCCTCCTGGATTGCCTTCGCAGTTTACATTCCCAAAAAACGAAAATTAAATGCGAGAAATAAGGCAAATTCCTGAGCCTATTGCTTTTTTGTCCTAGCAACGCCCATAGCAACGATTGTTTTGCCCAGAAATTTGCATAAAAAGGCCGGGCTTGATCGAAATTTGTTGAGGTACCTTAGTTGTTTTAACATGAAGTATCATAGCTACATCTGTTACTTGTCTCTGGCCACTTTTTTAAAAAACTGAAGGCGCATCACACATGTAAACTTTCCTGTTGGCGAAAACATATATTCAAAGCTATTCCGAACTCTTCTGTTAATTATTCAAACATATTTCTGTATATTTTTAACGTCTTTGCAAGTAATCTTTATTTACGATGCCAAGAGAAAGTTATAGGCCGACAAAGCGCAAATTTCACAGCAATCAGTTTGTGAAAGGTGGCAAGAGGAGTCGTGTTGACTTGATGACAAAACATGTGGCGAGCCATCAACGTCGTCCAACAACTTGTCTGCCTCTGCCAGAAAGCTTGGCAAACAGAGTTCGACAAAACCTGAACGTCCTGATAGTCAGTCAAATCAATTAAATGGGTACCTTTTTGTTGATATGGAAGTCCTTGGGGAATTATTTCAACAAGTGGCTTGCAGGGAATGTGGTGGTTTTTCTTGTCTGGTATTGGAAGACAAACCAACTGAAAGAAAAGGAAGTGCCTCCCATCTTTGCGTACGATGTGAAGAATGCGGTTGGGTTTATACCTTTTATACGTCGAAGAAAATCCAGCATGGTTTTGATGTAAATAAAAGGTTAGTCTATGCTATGAGGAGTATTGGACAAGGTCATGCTGCTATAAAACGTTTCTGTGCCAACATGAATATGCCATCTCCACTGGGGTACACTGCCTACAGAGATAATAACATTGCCTTGGCAAAGGCAGCAAAGTCGGGGGCCACAATGTCAATGCAGGATGCTGCAGCTGAACTTCAGAAGAATTCTGAACCATATACCAAGTGTGCAGTGTCGTGTGATGGTACATGGCAGCGACGTGGTCCTGCCTCGTTACATGGTTGTGTGACAACCTTGTCAATAGACAGTGGGAAATGTTTGGATGTAGAAATTTTATCCAAGGTCTGTCATGGATGCCAGAAAATTGAAAAAGATGCTGTGAAGAAAGTTGACCTACAAGAGAGGCACAAATGCAAAGCCAACTACCAAGGATCAGCACCATCGATGGAAGTGGAGGGAGTGAAAAGAATTTTTGAAAGAAGTGAAGAGACTCGCAAGCTGCAATATACTGAGTATTTTGGAGATGGGGATAGCAAGGCATATCAAGAAGTTCAGAACTGCTATGAGAACATTCATATTGAGAAGAAAGAATGTGTTGAGCATGTACAAAAGCGTGTGGGCACTGCGCTAAGGAAGTTGAAGAAGGAAAACAAAGGAATTGGTGGCAAAGGTAAGCTGACTGACTCCCTGATTGACAAACTCCAGAATTATTATGGCATTGCTATTAGAAGCAATTCTGGGGATTTGTCAGGGATGAGGTCAGCTATACATGCAAGCTTTTTCCACTGTGTTTCCTCAAAGAAGAGAAACTTGCATAATCATTGTCCGGATGGACCGGACAGCTGGTGTGCCTTTAAGAGGGACAAAGCAAACAATACAGCCCTATATAAGCCTGGACTTGGTCTTCCAGACAATATTATAGCATTAATAAAACCTATTTACCATAGGTTAAGCACTGATGACTTATTAAAGAAATGCTTAGATTGTAAAACTCAAAACCAGAATGAATCTTTAAATGCTATGATCTGGAACAAGTTGCCGAAAGTTTCTTTTGTTGGTTACGATGTTCTCAAGTTTGGAGTGTATGATGCAGTGGCTCACTTCAACATGGGTTCTAAGGCAGCTGCAAAGATAATGGAGGAATTGGGTTTGGAGCCAGGATACTTCTTTCAAGAAGGAATGAAGAAAGCTGATAAACAGCGAATTGCGAAAGCTGATCATAGGACGAAAAATGAGGTGAAGAAGCGGAGAAAGGTATTGCGAGGTCAAAAAAAGAAGAAAGAGGACAAAACTAAGGAGAAAGAGGACAACACATATGAGGCAGGGGCTTTTTGAATACAAACTGTGTCATAATTCAAGATAAATAAGAAATTTACAGGTATCAACTTCTTATTCAATTTAAAATGCATTTTTCTCGGATATGGCGAAACGCTGTGTACATTTAATTGTTCACATGATATCCTAAAAACTATTTAAGATATCTTGATGAAATTTTCACAGTGAGGTTAGTATACCTGGCTCTAGGAGGTAAACCTAAAAAAATTACTTTATCATTAATATTTATCAAGTTGTGTTTCAAATGGTATACGAATGGATTCATCTATAATTAAGAGATCTTATTATTCACCAGCTGAGGCAAACGCTCTTAGGGGGTCCAACAGTAAAATTTTGGTAAAAATTTTAAATTTTGCAATTTTTCAAATTAACAAGATTTGTATAGTTTAAAATATTTATCTAAAATATTTATCAAGTTGTGTTTCAAATGGTTATATTAGTTAAAAACAGTTGTGTTAAAAACAATTTTGGTGGAGATTAGGAAATGGTTTATCATCGAAGGAGATTACATCGATATCGACAGATGGAAGAAGGGATTTTCCGGGGAAAAAAAACGTCAACGTGGAAAGAAAAAGCAAAGAGGGGGAAGGAAAAAAAAAACAGATAGGGAAAGGAATTGGTGGGGGAATGGCTGCAGGTTTATTAATTCCTAATTTAACATCAACTTTGGGGAATGTTTTAAAAAGGAACATTTAAGTAAAAAATTTGTAAACGATTAAGAAAAAAATATATTATTACTTTAATTTTTGTCTGCATTTCATTTTCTTTGTGTCATCATGGTGAAACGAAGTGCCGAGGAAGCGGGATTGAGTGACCCCGATCAAAGAATTGAAAAACATGATAATGTTTACACAACAGGGATTGAGTTGTACAGAAATTTTCCTGTTGATAAAACATTTGTAGAAAATCATCATGAAATTATTAATGCCACCCCTGTTGACCCGCTTGCCGACGTTTACACATTTCGTCACTCAGCAACACCATCCGGATTAATTTTAATAAAAAAAGTACGAATTTCGGCTGATTGTCAATTGATGAATCATGTCACGAATAATGCTGTGGCTGCAGCAGCTGATTCACGATGTTTATTAAAATCCCCATGTTTTTTACGCACCATGTGGAAAACGAAGGAGATTAAAATAAGTCATAATCTAATTAACTTGTCAAGTAATTACGAGGGGTTACATGCATACCTTGAATGGTTAATGACTGAAACGCCGAACACTTATAATGATGGTCAGCAAATTAATCTCGCATACAGAGATACAGCGGGTGCTTTTAATTACGCTGATCATGGTGATCGAGTTCTTTCTCACAACCTTGCTGATGCCCTTGGAAATTATGGTGCTGAACGAATACATTATTTTGCAACAAGACCAAGAGCGTCATTTTATGCCGAGGATATTCTTGCTTGCCCCGTTTTTAATGATAATGGTCTTGATCGATATTTACCTACAAGTTTTGACATTGAAATTCAATTAACAAGAGCTGCAAATAATCTTATT